TGTGGGCGCTTCATGTCCGACCTCATCAGCAGCAGGACATTGTCTCAGAGACATTGACCTTCACAGTGAGGCCCACCACTTGAGGCTGCCTGAGAACATCTGCCATCATGGCTTGTTGGAATATCCCACAAAGAGGAAAAGGCCTCTCCAAAGCTATGAGAGAAAAACCAAGAAGCCATAGAAGAAAAATTAAAGAATAAAAAGCTGAGGAAAGTATTTGCAAATCAGTTCACAAAGAATTGTTTTTCTCAGGAGCTCGTATAAATCTAATAACCCAATTAAAAAAGGAATAGTTCACAGAAAAGTCAATATAAATGCATCTTTCAAACAATGTACTCCATCTCACACATAGGAGAAACACAAATTTGAAACCACAATGAGATACTTCTTATCAAATTAAGAAAGATCAAAACATTTTAAGAATATGGATGGTAAGGGGATGAATGAGGAAACAGTCACTTTCCAAACTGCTGAGAGTGTGAAGTGCCCTCTGTGGAGGGCAATCGGGCAAAGTCCACCACAGGTGCAGTGCACGGCTCCTCCGGCCTGCAAGTTCCACTTGTAGAAAGGTATGTGTATGTGTGCAGATTTATTTATTTCTCCTATATTCTTCAGCTATAAGGAAAAGAACCAGGAAGCTTGAAAGTTCTATGTTTAAGATAAAAAAAGAAAAAGTAAGGTACAGGATAAGCAGTTAGATGCAACAATTTGTGTAAAAATAATTTAAAACTATATATGTATACACATTAGCAGGCGCATGTATATATAGGAAGTTCCTTTATAATGCATAGAATATCTCTGGGAATATACACAGAATGTGATGACTGTATTTTTCTCTGGGGACGGGAACTGGGGACCAGATTAACAGGGAGACAGTGTCCCTTATTGTCCCAGCAGGAAGCTGAAGGCATGTCAGATTGGATATTTTGAGGGGGATTTAATAAAAGGACTATTCATTTAAATGCAGAGCCCCAGGGCTGGCGACAGCAGGAGGCCATTAGCACCCCTCTTGCAGAAGAAGAAATGTGTGGACTTAATTCCTGAATCCCACAGAGGGTAGCAATGTGGAGAGAGCTGCCTGATAGGAGCTGTGGCCTGGGGTGACTGCAGGAAAAGATACCAAGGGATAGACATTCCTTCTTCACTCTCCTCCTGTCTTCTCATCTCCATCTAAGGCAAACTTCATGAGGGAGGCCCAGTGCATGCAGCTGGAAGCCCCAGTTCCAGAAGGCCCTCGGTGTCCTTCATGCAGGCCAGCCTCTGGGGAAAGGAGCAGGGTGAGGAGTCAGAGCACAACTGGAGGCAAGAGGAGAAGGGCCCGCATAGAGATGTACTTTTCATTGCCTTCTTTTTTGTAGCTTTTGAATGTTGCACTGTGTTTAGGCATTAATATTAAAAATAAAATCAATCTCTTTTAAGACAATGAAAAATACTTATTTTTTAAGATTTATTAATTTTAGAGAAAGGGAAAAGGAGGGAGAAAGGGAGAGAAACGCTGCTGATTGGCTGCCTCTTACACACCCCCAACCGGGGACCTGTCCTGCCTGGGCGGGAATCCAACTGGAAACTTTGTTTTGGTCTGTAGGCCGGCGCCCAGTCCACTGAGCCACACCAGCCAGGGTGAAACAAATATGTATTTCTCTCTCTCAACTCTGTCACCTTTTCTTTCCTCCGTCACAGATAAATTTGCTGCAGCTGTTACTTGCAGTTACATCCTGCCCTCCTCTCAAGCCTAGCTTCTGCCCCTTGACATTTGAGTGCACCCAGCCACCAAGGTCAGCAACGTTCCTCCTGCTGGTTCAGTTTGCTTTACTTGACTTTAGGGGAACATATGGCACTATTGATACCACCTCACAGTTTCTTGAACCCCGCTTTCCTTTGGCTTCTGCCACCCCAACACCTGTCTAGCCTCCCTCTTGGCCCTTTCTCAGCTTCCTGGGTGAGCCTCCCTTCCTTTGGCCATCCTCTAAATGTGGTGTCACCAGGGTTCTGCCCTGGGCCCTTCTCTCACCTCACATCGCATTCGCCCTCACATTCTCACGTCTGCCCCCTTGCCTTCAATGACTCCCAGCCATCTCAGTCCCAGGCCCGGAGCTCTTATCCAAACTCACACACTTGGTGGCCACTGGGCACCTCCACCTGGCATTGTATGAGCTGTGTGTTATGGGCCAAACTATGCCCCCCTAAAATGTGTATTTTGAAGTCCTAACTCACAGTTTCTCAAAATGTTGCTTTACTTGGAGATAGGGACATCAAAGATGTAAGTAATTAAGGTAAAAATGAGGTCATTAGGATGGCCCTAAACCAATATTAGTGTTTTTATAAAAAGAAGAGATTAGGGCACAGACATACAAAGGAAATGCCCTGAGAATACACAGGGCAAAGATGGCCATCAGCAAGCTAAGGAGAGGCCTCGAAAGACACCAACCCTGCCAACACCTTGACCTTAGACTTCTAACCTCCAGATCCGTGAGGGGATTTCTGTTGTTCAAGCTGCGATAAAACAAAATATTTAAAAATAAAAGTATTTTTTATTTTTAAAACAATATTGGGATATTCAATAAAATCGGATAATGAATTTTATTATGTAAAACCAGCAATGGTGCCGACATCACATCCACTTATCTCCACAGCAGCAAGGTCTCAAATCTCTTAAGCTACATTTTGAAACACAACATGTACTTGTTGAAAAAAAATTTCCGGGGTCAATGAAATTTATAAAGCATTGTGTTTATTTATGCTCTTTGTGTTGGCACCTGAAAAAGGTGCCGTGATATCACTGATCTCCAGGAGTCTGCATCCTCTCCTTCTCCTCTCCCTGCCCCTCCCCACACCCTCTCTGCTGCCCGGTGGCTTCCTCCCTCAGCTGCCATCCCCGGAGCCAGGACCTCTCAGAAGAGGGACGCATTACTGTCTGTTCTCATTGCTCTTCTTGGATCTTGGTGTCTTTCCCTGTCTGATTCTACTTCAGAACCAACCCCTTTATCTGTCTCTCTGGTGTGTAAACTCAGGCCAATGACTTCATCATGTTGATTAAGAACCATCCAACATGTGGGGTCCCTTGGGGTAGAGTCTTTGCTCCTCCTTAGAAGCCAGTGGTCTAGACCATCGTCAACCAAAGTGTGGTCTGGTCTCATCTGGAAGCTTGTCAGAAAGGCAGAAACTCAGACCACACTCCAGAACTATTGAGCCAGAATTAGCATGTTAAAAAGATCCCCACTGATTCACAGGCACAGTGACGTTTGAGAGGCACTGATCTAGTTGCCCATTATTTGCTCATTGTGGCAGAGGCCTCTTCCTCTTTAAAGTTTGGGAAGCGCCGACTTAGTTGTTTTTGTGTCATATCGTCTCGGCCAGGCTGCAGTCACATGGTGCAGTCCTAGCAATATTTGTGTCAAGAGCTTTCTGAATCTACCTTTCTCAAAAGGTGCCAGTGTAACGACTAGGCCTTTGAGTCTTTGTAGCTGTTGTAGACGATAGGCAGGTAAATACACACTCTCGGAGTCCGGAACCGAATTGATAAAAATTTTAATGGCCAAAGATTTTCCTGCGCAGGGGCGAACTTCCCCAACTGTGACCGGAGTCACGTAGCTACTCAGAGCTACAAAATGGAAGTGGCGCCTGGCTTACAGACTACTGGGTATTTATATTTTCTAGCAAGCAAGCAAAGGCATACAGAAGCAGAGGTGGCGGTTAGCTATTGGCTTATTTAAAAACGGCGAGGGTCCCTGATTGGTGGGTGCTGCTGCTGCTGGCGGGCACTTTCTGGTGGGCCGGGTTAGTTACCTTATTTGGCTAGAATTTTAAACCCAATTGTTCCCTGATGTTTGTTCATTACCCTGTTCCGGGAACTGCAGATTTGGGTTGGGTAATGCCCTAGCTGTAATTTTCCTAGCTGGGTACAACAGTAGCCACTGAATTCAGACACAGTTCAGAATTCAACGGAGTGCGGAATAGCAAGGACAGTGCTCCGGCGCCGTACTGGGTGTGAGAACTGTCTTTGATGGTGAAAAGCCGGAAAGGCGGGTGTCCTGAGACACTTGGGGTTTGAATGCTGGTCTGTCGTTACGTAGCTCCGGGAAGTAAACTTGTTAATTTACCTCTCTGAGCCTCAGCTTCCTCACTTGTAAGATGGCGATGACAATACCTATTTAACACATGTTGTTTTGAAGAATTACTGAAAAAAATCACTAGACATGTAGGTGTTCAATAAATACACTCCCTTCTCTTTTCTTGTAATACCTCAATTAAAGTTGGTAAAACAAAGCCCTTGAAAGCTAAAAATAACAAGATGCCTCTCTCTTGAAGCTAATGTTATCATGCCAAGGTCGTCAAAACTGGTGCTGGTGGTGGGAGGGGTGGGAATAAAGATGCCCACTTGATTTTTTTTTCGGTTCCCCCACTTTTAAATTATCCATACTTTTGCTAAAATTTGTGTGTACATCATAAACTTCTGTGAAACACGATCTTATTCTTTGTACTTACAAGCCTTTAAAAATGAAGTTAAAGGGAAAAATTGAGCGCACACACATTTTGACCGATTTTCTGCACCGAAGAGGAAAGGAAAAACAAAAACATCGCACATCAGCAAGTTCGGTGACAGTTATTTAAAAGAGGAAAGGCTTGAAGCTCGGTCTGTCAGAAGGAAAAATCTGCCCAGAGTGCATTTTTGCTGTTTGTTACGGCAGATATCTTTCCATGAGCACGTGGCCAGGACCTAAATAATTGTGTAATGTAACGAGAGTATTTTTACAAGTTCATGCAAAAAACAGCGCTCTGATAATGGCCAGAAGACTCTAATTCCCGACCTTGGTCCGGGTCCTGGTAGCCAGCCCCGCGGGGTGCCGTTTCCTGCCCGCAGCCTCGCGCGGCCCCAGGTGAGTCCTGCGCGCTCCCCGCGCTCGGCTTGCGGGAGGGGCTGGAGCGTAGGCGGAGGGCGGGCCGCGGGGTGGGTGGACGGAGATCCGGGCCCCGACTGCAGCCTGCGTTCGTCGGAGCCGCTGTTGCAGCCGCGTCCTCACCCTTTTCCCGGGCGTGCCGCCTGGAGGCGCGGAGCCCGCCCCGCGCGCCCCGGCCCTGCAGCTCCGGCCCGGGCGGAGGCCGCCGGACCGCGGCGATGCAGGGCGGGGGCAGGGCGCGGGGTAGGTGACTTTATCCCGCCTCTGTTTCCCTGCCTCGGGGAGCAATGACATCACGCGGCCTTGTCCAGGCGCCGACACAAAGAGAGGCGCGGAGAGGCCGCTGCGGGGGAACCCCGCGGCCGCCCCTGCCGCCCTGGACCCTGGGGTCCCGCCGGTCAGGTCCGCCAACCGTGGCCCGAGCGCTTTCAACTCCTCCTTTGCCGCCACCGCCTCGGTCGCCGCCGCCCGCGCCGCCCCTCGGAGCGCGCAGCTGAGCCCGCGCCGGGCCGCGCGGGCCCCCGTTCATGCGGTCGCCGGCCCTGGGAGGGGCGCCCGCAGCCAGCCGCGCAGCATGCACTGGGGGGTTGGCTTTGCCTCGTCCAGGCCGTGCGTGGTGGATCTGAGCTGGAACCAGAGCGTCTCCTTCTTCGGCTGGTGGGCCGGGTCCGAGGAGCCCTACTCCTTTTATGGGGACATCATCGCTTTCCCTTTGCAGGATTACGGTGGGATCATGGCAGGGCTGGGCTCCGATCCCTGGTGGAAGAAAACACTTTACTTGACCGGGGGAGCTTTGCTGGCCGCGGCTGCGTATCTGCTCCACGAACTCCTGGTCATTAGGTGAGCCGAGAGAGGGCCCCGCATAGGGGCTCCCGAGGGGCACTTGGGCAGGGCTGGCCCAAGGTGAGTGGGGGGCGTGCCAGCCCCTCACGCGGCCGAAATGCTCAGAGGCCTGTACTTACCTTTCCCCAGAGGCATTCCATGGGCACCTGGTCGTGAAGGGCAGTTTAGAGTTGACAGGAGAATTAAACCGGTATTGGGAGGGAAAAACATTTGTCTCCCAATCTTTCGGTGCTGCACGCAAAAAGACTCTGGGCTGTGGAGCAAAATAGTCTAATACGAAATGCCCTTAGGAAGAGGCTAAGTGCAATGTTTTTGCAACAATAGAATTAGGCCCTGTAGAAATACTAAGTTACACTTTTCTGAAATCCCTTATTCGTTTATAGATAATAACGCTGGAACATTAACCACTAACCTTATCTTTTACTTAAAGGTTAGTTCTCCACTATCCCTCCCCAAATATTAAGATCATCAAAAAACTGAAATTGCCCAAGGTCCAGAGAGACCTCTGCGTCCCTGTTAAGGATGCATGGCCAGGTGTGGCGGTGTGCAGTGTGCTGTTGGGATGCAGGCTTAACCTGGCTCTCTGCTAATCTGGTATTTAAAACTAAGCACCATCTTCAGGTGTAGATGCCATGGTTTGTGTGAGCCAGGGGAGATCCGAGCACATGGGCCCCTTTGACAACTCGGGAGTCATCCAGGGCCATAAACAGTTGCATGGGCTGCCTGCCGCAGAATGTTTACGGGATTGACTTGGAAAGACCAGAAAATGGAGGCCCCGCTGTTGATGCTTCCTGCTGGTCGTGAGATCTTTGTTTGAGCAGGATAATGCCATAGGCTGCTGAGACGGTCGTTTGGCTAATTGCTACGTTAATTTGCCATTAAAATTTCTGTGCGTTTGAACCCTCTGTTACTGGGAAATGACGAGGTGAGCAATTTTCTGTCCCTGTTGGCCAGTATTTTGTAAATACTGAGAAATGGGTCCACATTGCTCTTTTTTAGTGGGAGTCTGAAACAGTAGGCTGTAAACAAAGGCAGTGACAGTGACCTTTCACAGGCCTGCAGGCATTCCAGGAGGGCCCTGGGACAGCCTAACTGAGGTGGCCTGAATATTTCTAGTCTCAGAGGGTGGGGAATCGTGTCGGTCTGGAAAAATGTATTGGCTTTCATATTATTTAGTCGTAATTGGGAACTTTTATTTTTGTCATACACATTGACTGCTCTCACCTAGCCCAGTGCCTTGAATCTAGGTGAACCAAATAAAAAAATTTTTAAGGGAAATTATCTCTCTAGATTATTTTGCTTTTGCTCCTGTTAAAACCATTTCAAGTTAGGTTTTAAGCTATATGAAAACCCAAAGCATGTGTGCAGTAATTTAAAAGGTAACCCTGTTGTTTCTCAACTACATTCTAGCCCAAAGACGTTTCAGGATCCCAAACCATGTGGCTTCTCACCAGTTGTCCACTTTGTGGAGGGAGTGAGGGCACGGCTTCACAGGACTGAGTCTAAACCTTGCTTAAATGACCTTGCGGAAATAGAAAGGAGCTCAGGGCTCACCCGGGAGCAGGCCACGCCCTGGTAGGTGTGGTCGCTGGACACAGAAGAGGCCTGTCCACCCACAAGTGTCCTTCCCTACTTAGGGGTCTGCTTGGATACTTAATTAGTTGAGGTGTTTTTAATCCTTGGTTTATTCACTTTTGTTTCTTGACAAATGCTTAAAATCCTGTTACAATGTAAGTAATAAAAGTGCCTGCCCATTTTCCAGCCCTTAGCAGGGCTTCTGCGGAGCAGTGCTTTACTTGGGTGATTGCATTTATTTGTTACAACTAGCTTTGGGTGCTTGATCCCCACTTTATAGGTAAGGAAAGTGCGGCCCAGGATGGTTAAGCAATTTGCCCAAGGTCACACACAGTAAGAGTAGTAGGATCCAGATTCAGGTCTGGGAATGCGCGTCTGCTGAGCTCGAACTTTTCCACCACTGGGTCCTAGAGACTGTCAGTCCTGAAAGAGGTTTTGATGTGGGGAGAGGAAGAGAAATATAGAGAACTGGGGCATCGCTTGGCGAAGATAGGCCCGTGGTAAGGACCTGAGTTTCTGACAGCCTTTAGGGGCATGGAGGGATAGGGGGGAAACTGAGGCTGGGGACTGATGGTCAGAGGTTGCGTGTTAGAAACCTCCACTTAGGGTGAAATCAGCAGTTTTCTGTGTCGTTTAGGGAAAACACAAAACAATGCAAAATATGCAAAATGGACAATACACTTCAAACTGGCTGCTCTAAGTTCATCGGCAATTGCCTAGACTCCACCACCCTCCTTCGGTTTGCTTCTGTGTGGACTTAACCTTAACCTATGGTCAGGTCTCCAGAGTGGAGGGTGAGGTTGACAGATGAGAGGTATTTGTAGTTACATTAATGAGTAGAACCAAAGTAGGTATTTGAGATTTTATTCATGTTTTCCCCACCACAATATTTTTAAACAAATGTAGTTCCAACCCCATGTTTTTTCTCCTTGAGTGGAGGTAGACTAGCATCTGTCTTCAATTCAGTTTGGCATTTGGAAATGTATGATTTGTAAGTTGAATGACTAAATTAATGACTTTTTACTGGTATCTCATTTGCATTTAAGGTACATGGGCTCAGCCTGCGCTAGAAAACTTAGGGAATCAGAGCGGGGTCACTTGATCTCCACAACCAGCCCCTCAGCCGGACACAGGCACGGTCACCTGTGATGTCTTTCGCCACAGGAGTAGGGGCCGTTCTCACTGCCCTGTTCTCTTACACAGTTCTCATAAGGTCACTTTATAAAACACAGCTGTCCAGGAAATGGGTCACCTGTTTCTCTGACCCTAAGTTGGAGAGAGGCTCCTGGTGTGTGGAGGCAGGGCTCTGGGGCCAGACTGAATTTAAATTCACTCTGCTTTTAATCAATCATGTGAGCCTGGGTTGGAGGTAACCGTCGTGGCTGCCGGGTTCTCTCATTTGTAAAGTAGGGATGGTAACAGTAGCCTTCCTCATGGAGTTGACGGAATGAGTTAACACATGTGAAGGGCTTAGCACACCGTTTGACATACAGTGAGCACACAGTAAAAGTTGGGTATTAGTGACTATAGACTTGCATTAGAAAGTTCTGGGCTTGAGTGGTCTGAGTCAAACTGGCTAATAAAACTGAGGAATGGTCCATTTTGGTGTAGTTGAAGTGCTTAAGAATGGGGGGACTGGAGCTATTAATAATTTGATCTTAAGTTGATATTCCTTGAACAAGTTATTAATGTCTCTGAGCTTCAGTTTCCCTGTCTACTATAAAATGTAAGTATAGTATATACTTAAAATATACAATTTTGAACTATAACAATACCCACTCTATAGTGCTACTGAAATCACTTAATATGCATGTATACAAACTCATTGGCATACACACTTGTCACATAGAATCCATTCTTATGGCATGGCCCAAGTTAACCAATAGAATGAGATTGTTCTGGCCAGTGGCTCAGGGAATTTTGTATTTATCTCCTAACCTTTCAGTTCTTAAAATTTTGCCCAGCTAATTTACATGAAAATACTACTCCATGACTTCAATTATTTAACTGGACAAGATCAGTTAGTTGTCAAATCTGCAATTTGTACTTTCTAGGAACAAAGTCTAAACAGCTTCTTAATGTTAGTATTTGACCTTCCAAATATGTCATCTAAATGAAAACCTTTGTTTCATAGCAAGTATTGCCAGAAAGCAGTAAATATTCTTATTCTTTTGACCAATATTTTCCAAATGAGCCATTCTTCCCTCCTGAAGTGGCATGGGCACTTGAGTGGTAGACGTCTCCAAGAGAGTTTTGTTATATTGAGGGGAGATGCTGTGGTGTGTGAGCATCTGTGTGATGATGGTACGAAGAGCTCATCTTTGCTTGCCTAGAGAGAAGCTCTTGAGGGACTAGACTAGGAGCAGCATGAGGGAAGCAGAGTCTCAGAGAAGGCCAAGGAGAAGGGTGGGAAGTGGTTGGGTGGAGTGAAGGAAGGAAATTACAGAAGGTTCCCGTGCTGCGCGAGTGGAGCTGTGTGGGATGACGAGATTTTGCAGCATGAGGGAATAAGAGCATATCTCTTTGAATAAGAATAAAGCCCACCTTCCTTACCTAATGCTTGATCACTCCCCAAATGTTTACAGATATTAACTTACTTAATTTTCAGGATAATAATCGGTACAGAATAGGTACAGTTCTCACTTTCCCTGTGAGGGAAGAGAAGAGGTTGAGGGTAACATGGCCAGTAGGAAGCAGGAGTTGGACTTGACCTCAAGTGTCCAGGCGTGGAATCCAGTATCCAGTATTTGCTTCCTGATGGCTATTGAAAACTTGCACCAGGGAGTCCTCCCCACCCAAAATAGCAGTGTGTGTGGCTGAGACAGAAGAAGGGGAAAAGGTAGGGGCACTCAGATAAACGCTGTGTGGTACAGGTAGGGACTGTGTGAGGGTGAAGGATGGGACAGCCCGGAAGCCAGGTTCCTGGGCACCACAGGTGAAAAGCCAGGGGAAGGCACGGAGCGTTTGAGAGGGACCAGTGTACGCTGCGTCTCAGATCCCCTGAAGACTTGGGTCACGGCAGATAAAGCAGCACTGTTACTTCAGGGTTCTGGGGATGAATAGACTGTTTCGCGGTGCAGTCTAGTGGTCAAGAACATAGGCTCTGACTACCTCATTTAGTCTGGGTTCTGCCGTTCATTAGTAATGTGACTTTGGGCAAGTTAATCCTCTGTGCCTCAGTTTCCTCATCTATCAAACATGGATAACAATAGCACCTCCCTCAGAAGCTTATTGTGAAGGTTAAGTGAGATAATACCTGTGAAGCCCTCAGAACAATGCCTGACACATAATAAGCCCAGAATATCATTTTTATCCACCCAACTTGTCCCTGGCAGGTAGACTTAGCCAGTAAGGGGGAGAAGGGGACATATACCCGAGAGCACGCTTCCTGTCCATCGGTACCAGATGGAGGTTGATATGTAGTTACTTTTCTGAGATTTGGGGGTCATGGTAATAACAGAGTTTCTAAGGTCCTTTTGTGTCTCAAACAAGCTCCCACTTTCTGAGTGCTTCTGTGTGAGGTGAGCCCCGTGACAAACAGATCTGCTTGTTCATTGAGGAGCTACAGCCCAGATCCTCAAGGTTGAGGAACTAAAGGAACTAAAATGTATAACATGTGGATTGTTCTTTATTTCTGTTCTGGTTTTAACAGGAAACAGCAAGAGATTGACTCCAAAGATGCTATTATTTTGCATCAGTTTGCAAGACCTAACAATGGTGTTCCCAGTTTATCTCCTTTCTGTTTGAAAATGGAAACTTATTTAAGGATGGCTGACTTACCCTATCAGGTACTTGTGTGCAAATATGTTTTATTGTCCTGACAGCGATGTTGATTAGAGGGCATTACCCAATCTCCCGTGGTGGCGGTGGGGCTGGCACTTGGTGCTAGAGGGGCATGGATGAAAGCACCAGTGCCCAGTCCTTGACGGCAGGAGCTGGTGACTTTTATGTTCAATGTAACGTGGGATCAGAAGGGCTATGAAATTTGTAGGGTTCAGGGCCATGTTATTTTTTTTCTGACATAGAGTGTAATTCGGTTAAGAGTTTAGGTAGGCTCGCTGGGCAGCTTTAACCCAGGTGGATGCACCATTGCTTGACATGGTTTTACCCCTTAGGTTTCTATTTATTGACTGCACTGTGTTTTGTCTCCTGTGAACCCTGGGGGCAGAGCGCCCACACGCCACCTGGGAGATGTGTGCGGGTTTTGTGAGAGCTTCCCTACAGTGTTCCCTGTTTGGTGTGGGTGACTTTCAGGGAAACACCAGCTCAGTTCAGCATTAGAGAGGGAACAGAGGAGGGGACAGGGCAGACACTTCTCCCCGGGTAGTGCTTGAGCTGTGTCTCACAATTTGATGGATTTGTATTTTCATTGTCATTCATTTCTATGTATTTTTAAGAATTCTCTTATGTTTTTCTTTTTCACCCAAGTTGTAGCTAAATGCGATGTGTTAAAAGTTTTTACTTTTGTTATTGTTTTTTAATTCTATGATCAGACTAGGTAGTCTTTGTGATATTGATTCCTTGGAATTTACTGACGCTTTAGCCTAGTGTGTGGCTATGTTTTATAAATGTAAAGAGTACTTGTGTATTCTCAGTGTGCGTGTATAGCTCTCTCTGTGTCCTTGCACAAGCATATTTAGTGTATTGTTTAGACCTTCTATAGCTCTGCTTATTTTTTGTTTGCCTGTTCTAGCAGTTTCCAAAAGGAATGGGTTAAAATATTCAAGTGTATTTGTTTATCTCTTTTTTCTGTCATTCTGTTAGTTCTTTCTTTAAGAGTGTTTATGTATTTGAAGTTATACTGTTAGGTTTATATGATATGAAAGATCACATCTTTTACTGTTTCGTCTCTTTATCTAGTATATGTCACCCATCTCTGTCCCTTATGACTTTTTTATCCTTGAATTCTATATTATCAGTTATTGAAAATGATTCTTGAGCTTTCTTCTGACTCCTATTTGCTTGAGGTATCTTTCTCCTTGTTTCTTCCTTTTTTTCCTCCTTTCTTCCTTCCTTTCTTTTTTCCCTTTCTTTCTTTCTCTCTTTCTTTCTTACATGTGTATTTGTCTTTTGTTGTATGCGATGTATTACTTATATTCAATCTGAACTGGTGTTAGGACTTATTTTAGCATCTTATTTAATACTTTTCTCCTTACTATTACTTTGTTCTTAATATTTCTCATTTCCTGCTTTCCAGTGATAGATAAATTGTTTTCTGTCATTTTAAACAGATTCTACTTTTATTGTTATCGTGTTTGTGCTTAAGACCCCAATGTGTGTTTATTTATGTCTATTTATTTATTTTTAAATTTTAATTGTTGTTCAAGTACAGTTTTCTCCCACCCCAGCCCACCCCCCTCAGCCCTCCCCACCTCCCTCCCATTTCCACTCCCCCCCTTGTTTTTGTCCATGTGTCCTTTATACTTGTTCCTGTAAACCCTTCTTCTTTTTTCCTGAAATTCCCTCCCCTCTCCTCTCTGGTCACTGTCAGCCTGTTCTCTATTTCATTGTCTTTGGTTATATTTTGCTTGATTGTTTTGTTAATTAGGTTCCTGTTAAAGGTGAGATCATATGGTTTTGTCTTTCACCGTCTGGCTTATTTCGCTTAGCATAATGCTTTCCAGTTCCATTCATATTGTTGCAAAGGGTAGTAGCTCCTTCTTTCTTTCTCCTGCATAGAATTCCATTGTGTAAAGGTACCATAGTTTTTTGAGCCACTCATTTACTGATATTTATTTCTTAAATGTATCCCATTTTGTGTTCTCCCTCTCATGGTACAAGTATGTTAGCAGGTTCATGTGAACCTTGCTTGCATCCCTTTCTTCCTGACCCTCATCCCATTTGCATTGCTGGTATGTAATATTTTACTTCTGGAGTTTTGAAAACATGCTCTTGCTCTCTCTCTCCCTCTCAATCCTCTTTCAGTCAACAAGGCTTTGCTAAGTTATTTGACTAGCCGCATTTCCCATATGTCTGATCCTACAGGATCTGTTTATCTTTTCTATGGGAGTGTTTCCATGACGACCATTTTCAGAGGGAGCCTTAAGTGGCAAACTATCAGCAGCTTTGCATGCCTGAGAGCATCTTTGCTACACCCTCACACTTGATGATTCTGTGTTCAAAGTTCTTTCAGTGATTTAAAAATTATATTTTCATTTTAGTATAAAATTTAACAATATACCTCCATTGCCTTTTTGCATCCATATTGCTATTGAAAAATCTGATGTTAATCTGATTCTTTTTCTTCCTTTTTTCTCTGGAAGCTTTTAGAAATTGCATTTAATTTTGACATTCTTAAATTTCACTAGAATGTGCCTTGGTGTGGGTCTTTATGTACCTTGTGTGGTTCTTTATAAACTCTGTTAGTTTGAAATCTTTAATCTTTGTAATTCTTTTCTTTGATATTTGTTTTCCCTTCTCTCTGTATTTCCCTGATAGTGAAGGCTCTGCTTTTATTTCCTGCATCTCTGAATGTAACCCTTCATTCTTTTCTTCTTCCTTCTGGGAGGCTACATCTCTCTGAGCTTCTGTGGCTCTGTTCTCTTTGTATATCCACCATGCTGTTTCTCTCATCTGTTGTGTTCAACTTTTATATTTTCCTCGTAATATTTCTCCTTGGTTTGTGCTGTTAATCTCTTCCATTATTTCTTAGAGGATATTTACAATACTAATTAAAATTGTTTAGTCTCTCCCAATAACTCGGCTTCATGTTGTAGATATCCAGTCTGTTGCCCTTCTGTTACAGTGGTCATACACTTCTGGTATCTAGTTATTTGAGGTCTCTTTTCACCAGAAATGTCAGCTTGCCCGCCTGGGAATTTCTACCCAGCTCTCTGGTCACAGGTTGTGTACCTCAGAGGGAGTGAAAAAAGGGAAGGAGGTGAGCCCCCGGCATTCCAAGGCAGTGTGGTCTCTCCTGTTTGCTGCCTCTTGTCCAAATGACTCCCACTGACCAGGGACTCACCTTCAAGCTCTTACAAAGTAGCAGCATTGAGAGAAGGCGGTGTCCTTGGATGGAAGCTGACCAGCAGGGAATTTGGAGAGGGAGAGCTTCCAGACCCAGCCAAGCATTTGACTGCTGTGATAATATCCCACCCCCCACACCCCCCAACTCCTGACACCCTGTAGCCTGTGCTTTCTGAGCCAGTTCCTCCACAGAAGAGGGCGTGGGGTCAGCAGCGACCCTGCTAAGGCAGCATTGGGACAAGACGAATGTCATGCTCTCCGCTTGGAAAGTGCCATTATGGAGTCCTGTGGGAATATGGTGGAGGAGTCTGGAGGTTGCGGGGTCTGGGAGGGCACAGGGTCTTTGTGCCTGGAAACTCAAGTACAAGTGTGAGTCTGGACAGAAAAGCAAGGAGAAGATTATTCAGGACTTTCTCAGCCAGTGATGGAGGAGAAAACAGCGATAAAAACAAACGGGGCTTGACTTATCTCAGTGCAGTGGATCAGATTTGAAAGATCGCTGTTCAGCTTGGTGTTGACGGTCGGCATCAAAGATGAGTGTCACCAAGGGGCACAGACCGGAGGGGACTGCGGTCCAGGAGCTGCCTGTCTGCTCACTCTCACTCTAGGCTGGGTTGCTCCCTGCAGCCGTAATAGCTTTGGGACAGTTACGCTCCTACACCTGAATTTTGTGCTTCAGGTTTCAGGCTGCTTTTACCTCCACCCCCATGAAACGATCCTGCTGTTTGTTCCGACCGTTCCAGTCTTGCTTTCTGGCCATCGAGTGCTGATTGCCACTGGCCCGTCCTTACCAGCAGCCTAACCAACTGCCTTTGTTCATGTTTTGGAAGAGCTGCTTTTTAGTTAGTATAACTGGAGCTGCAGGGCACATGCCTCACCGTGAAGCCTGGAGGTAATACAGAGAAAAGGGAACACTTACCCCTTCTAAAATTACTATTTTTTGTTGAGTATATTATTTTTAAAAGGGTGGTATGGGGACGTTTTTTTATTCTGTGAGGTCTCTGTGGAAAATAAATGCAGGGAGCGTTCAGCACAGGCCAGAGATTCCACGTAAGAGGAAAGTGGTTCTGTGGTTTAAAGGGGAAGCTCCATGCCTGCCTGAGGGCCTTGAGCCCCACCTGCTGTGAGGAGGGGGTTGGTTCCCTCCAGAGATGCCTGGGATGTGGTGGCGGAAAGTGCTAACTTCTCCGATGGTCAGTGGAGAGGTTCGTCGTATTCCCAGGGTACCCCATCCTCTGCCCCTTCTGCGTTCTGTGCCTTTTAAAAAAAGATTAAAAGGTTGTATTTCTAAAAGCACAACTTAATGTTTGAAGCTTTTATATTTTTAACTTAAATAAGACTAGAATAAATATTTAATAACCATTAATAGGCACTCACAAGGCTTTTTTTAAAAGCCTGATGTATTGGTCATCATTATTATCTTTTAAAATCTGGATATAAATATTAGTAGGTTACTTTTTAAAACTTTTCATTTTGTAATCATTTCAGATTTATAGGAAGTTGTAAAACATGCACAGAGAGGCCCTGCAGATATGGCTGATTTTTTTTTAAAAATTAATTATTTAAAAATTTTTCTCATTTATTGATTTCAGAGAGAGAGGAAGGGAGGGTGGGAGGGGGAAGAGGAGGAGAGGGAGAGAAACATCAGTTTGTCGTTCCACTCATTTATGCATTCATTGTCTGGTTCTGCTGCGTGCCCTGACCAGTGATGGGGTCTGCAGCCTTGGCGTATTGGGATAACACGCTAACCAACTGAGCTACCTAGCCAAGGCTGGTTAATTTTTTAAAAAAACAAAAATAGCTTTATAAAAATACTTTAGTA